CGAGTGCACAGACAGGCAGGAGGACACACACCGAGTGCACAGACAGGCAGGGGGACACACACTGAGTGCACAGACAGGCAGGAGGACACACACTGCACCAGGAGTGAAGGTTTCACCACACAATGACATCCTCTCACCTCTAACAGCGCACACTTTCAAACACTTTCAAATACACCTTGATGTTGTTTTCAGTCCATAAAGTCATCTGTCTTTGTGACACAAATGAAGATTTAAGAGCAAGGTGTTATGAGCTATCTTTGTGAAAATGCTCCCACCAAAATAACGCAAAGACTTCACAACACAAGCAGAGAAAGGAGACGTGACTGATTTAGCATCCATTCATCTTAGAGAGAGATTTCACTTTTCATTTATTCAGCTTCACCCTGTCAAATGAAACGCCTCTTCTCACCTGGATGACTCCTGAGCATCACAAGTCTCTGTCTCTTGATCAGTTCCAGACACACACAGTTTTCTTTCTGCACACGTTTCACTTCTGTTCAGGGCACAAAGGGGCTGTGTAGGTTTCAGAACCCTCGCGTGAAATCTGCTCACCAAGCATTCACTTAAAAAACATCTTGGATCCAAATTCTCCTCGAGGCAAACACGATGCGTTTCTACAGCTCCTGGAAGTTCACCTCAGAGCATCTGCATACCACAAGTGTACGTACACTGTGTGTGTGTGTGTGTGTGTGTGTGTGTGTGTGTGTGTGTGTGTGTGTGTGTGTGTGTGTGTGTGTGTGTGTATGTGTGTGACACTGATGATCCACGCTCATGTCAATTCTGTGCACTTGATTTGACTATATATATCTTACATTATATTTTCCAACAAACAATTTTCCTTGTTAGTAAATCTGCCCGTGTTTTCCATTTGTTTCTATATGTAAAATGTCTCAATCTTTCACCCACATATTTGCATATACAATCTATACCTCTCAAATAACTATACACTAGGTATTTGAAAATAAAACACCAGTGACCCCCAGAGGTCATGCAGCTCCTCACACGTTGGACCAACAACACATTTAAAGCTCTGAATAACAAGGCTGGAACTTACTTTGTGCTCTGGACATCTAGTAGAGAAGTTATCCTCGTTTAAGACACAGCCTGGAAATTAAAAAACACAGATAGAGAAAATAAGCTTTCATATCCTTAAAGATTGTCCCATGAGACTGAGAGAGAATGAGAGCGAAAAGCTTTCAACATTTCACAGCCAGAGTTCAGAGGGAGCAGAAGGTAAACGGCGAAATACAAAAATAAAAAAAGAGTTTACTTTTGAACATTCAACATTTATAAAAAAAAAATATATTTTGGAATACATAAAAGAATAAAAAATTAAATATACATTTTGGAAATAAAATGATTAATAAACAAAAATATAAATCTAAAAAAAAAAAAAAGTGGGAAAATATAGTAAAAGATACAACTGGATATATAAAGACAAATACAAAATATAATTATAAACATTTTCATTTTTTACATATACTTCTTTATATTTTTATTAAAAATAATTAATAATAATTAATCTATTTATATACTATTATTTCTATTTATAAATTACATTATTTGTACAATATATATATTTTTTATTATTGTATTTAATTGTATTTTTTTTATTTTTCCCAATTGCTTTAGTATTCCTTCAGGGCCAAAGTGTCTAGCAACCGGCTTTACTTATTTATTATTTTATTTATCACTCTTTATTTTGTCCTTACAAATGAATTCTTCTCCATAGACTTTTATGATACCACCATTTTACAAACAGTACACATATTGAGGGTGCATTCTTTTCCTGACATTTCATACTGTACCTGATTGAATGGCACATGAGTAGTGATAACTTCTATGACAGCCCTTCTGGAAACATCCCATAATTGCACCTGTTTGTTGGCACGCTGAACATTTCTGAAAAGAAAAATTACACAGTGAGACACAGACTTATTGATATTAAAAGCATGAAACAAATAGTCAGTTGTTTTTTAATATGTTAGTGTGCCGCTCACTGTTTCCTGTGCGAGCTGGGCAGCCTCCTCCAGCCCGTACAGCTTCCCCCCCACCAGGAAGACCCCGGTGGACCAGATGCCGCAGTCCCCGTGGATCCAGCCCTCGTCCACACGGAGAGGCACCTTTGGGAGGAGGTTAAGTTGAAATAAAGAGGTAAATACCTCCACAATCTAGAAAGTGTAGAGTAAAAATTAGGCTTAAAAATGTATCAAGACAGAATTTATGACAGCTTAGGGGGTACAAAGCCATTACAGGAAACAATCTGAAATGCATCGTGTGCTATTTGCGCTACCTTTTTTTAGGTTCACATTTGTATTTTGTGTCTACTGTGACATGTTTACATGCTTCTTTGTTCAAAAAGCTCTTTATTTTTATCATACTGCCTGTGCTGCAGCACCTCTTATCACCCTCTGTCTGAAACCAGAGCCCAGTCTGCTCTGATTGGTTAGCTGGCCGGCTCTGTTGTGATTGATCTACTTCCTAGAAATGTCCCGACACTTAGCCTATCACGTACAATGTGATGAAATGCAATTGTTTAATAGTGATGTTACTATGTTCCTGAAGTAAACAAAGGAGTCCAATGGAGGCGTTTCAGGCAGCGGGGGAGTGTGTGGGAGAGAAAGTCCCTCTGGAGGGAACTTTGGCAGATCATTTACATGCAGAACAACCTATTAAATATGTAGGGGAAAACCCCCAAAAGCATAATAGGGCACCTTTAATGAAGAATGCTAAGCAATATATCTTTAAACCAAATATCTCTGTGGTCTCGACCCAAAAACAAGACATTTAAAGACATCACTTTTGAATTTGAAAAACTAGAATGGATATTTTATACACAAGTATTATTTAAAAAATATCTATTCAATATTCAGCATAACAATAACAACCATTATCATTATTTGCGGCCCCACCTTTGGGAGAGAGTGGTTGTCACCCTCAAGCAGACTTTTGACGCCATGGCAGTCATTATCTGAGGAGTTCACTGAGCTTCTGCTGGCGTTTGATTGTCCCTCCTCTTTCTGCTCAGTCTTGCACAGCAGAGAGGGGCCGGTGGGGTGATACGGGCCGTGGAGGTCCCCCAGGCCCGTGGCGTTGGCCGTCTGACCGCACAGGCAGCAAAGTAGAGCTACCTCACCCCCGCTCTCTGAGCCAGAGCGCCCCAGCTGGAAACAGGAAGTGTGGGGAACAAACCCGGACAGAGAGGAGGCTTTCTGCTGCTGCCCCCTCCTCACCGTCGCCTCCTCTTCTGGATAGTTAACAACAGTGCACGCCCTCTTCTGCACGTGAACAAAGGGGCAAAAATTCCCCGATGTCTTTTTCAGTTTTTTCTCTTTTAAGTTTGCATATTTGAGCTTTATTTCTGGCTCTCTAGGAGAAAACAGAGAACAAGGTCCAGTTGGCCGCGAGCGCACTTTTTTCTTCTGTCGTGCCACTGTTTGTTTTATTTTTTTACTTTCATGCTGCTCTGTAGCACTTGTGCTTTTTTGTGTCTGTTTAGTTCTTGTTTTTTTTGTTTTACAAATGGCGGGAGGCTTCTTTCGTTTACAATTGATGGCTTTGCAACGAGGCTGCTGCTCCCTCTGCGGTGACTTCCTGTCTTTCTGAGAGGCCGCATCAGACTCCTCTGAGCTGCTGCTCACTCTTTGGGACACATGTTCTTGCAAGGCCGACTCCTCTGTGTCCGAGCTGGTAAACCTTGCCTCGTACTCCATCATGTCGTCAAAGTCACAGCTTTCGTTATAAATGCCCACCACGTTATTTTTAGCTTGCCTCCTCAAACTGTACCTGGACAAGCTGCGTGGCGACTCGCTGCAGACGTTTTGAAATATTTCAGACACAGATTTCCTGATTCTAGTGCTGCGTCGGATTCTTCTAGGCTGAACTTTTTCATCCTCACTCTGAGGAGGAGTTTCTCTCGCTAGACTTTTCTTACAAGAAACGGTTTTCTTGTTTTTGCTAGTGACAGAAACTTCAATGATGTCACTGTCGTCGCTTGAAATATCTACCAGGGATTCAGCAGGGTGTGTGTACACAGTGTTCAGGTCTGACAGAAGCACGACAGGCCGGGCGTGATGTATCGGGATGTCCACGGAGCTGTCTGAGGACTCCTCTGAGTCCGAGCTGTCGGGACTGGGCGAGCTCAGAGGCTGAGGTAGGTGATAGCAGCCTCGCTCTTCTTCCAGCGAGGACACCTCCGGGGACAGAGGCTCCACGATGTGCCTCATGCTGTCCTGGAGGAACGAGCTGCATAAGAGCGGCTCCTTAGTGGACGAAACGAGGAAAATAACATCAGAGCCGCTGTCGCTCTCCTCTCCGCCGCTGCTTTCAGGAACTGAGAAACCTGCATGCCACAGGTTGCCGTTAGGGTACAGCCCAGGAGCTAGTGTTGAGTTCATATAGTTACTCAACGCCTCGGGGCTCTGCTCCATATTTCTGCAGTGGAGACCGGGCTGAGAGTTGTAGGAGGACGAGGCTCTGGATCTGTACGGGGAGCTGATCTCGGGGCTGCAGCTCGGCAGCCGTCGGTGGTACCACTCAGGCTTCTTCCCCAGGTCCATGGCTTCAGTGTGGCCGCGGTTCAGGGGGTGGACCGAGAAGCCCTTTGACAGGTCCATAGCCATGAGAGACGGGTCCTGAGGGGACACCTCCATCACTGCAACACATAGACATTTCAATTAGAGGGATTCACTTATTTTTATTCCGACTACTTTAACCAGAAAGGCCCCATTGGGATACATACAACCTCTTCTGACAGTCCTGGTGAAGATGGGCTGCAAACATAGTACACATTAAAAAGTACAAATTGGGAGTTGACATCATTTAAAGTAATTTTTAAAGATTGCAACAGAGGGTAATAATTATGAATCACATGACATGGGAGCTACTGGAAATATTTAATAATTTTCAATAAATAAAAAGAGATACAAAAATAAATAATAATCCAATAATAACAGATGTGTCTTTTCTTTCTTCTTTTGTCATCATACAGTGGCCAACCCGCGGCTCTCGAGCCGCATGCGGCTCTTTGCCTGGTTTCATGCGGCTCTTCAGTTCATATCGAATTTTATATGTGTGAGTTTGGGGGAGAGACGCTGACTCCTGACTCGTGTTGCACGGTGTACCGATACTTGAAAGGTATACCGCGATACCCTGCCGTTAAAAACGTTACGATTCCTCCGTTTCATTAGTATCGGTACTTTAAGAATGACGGGGGGAAGTACTCCGGTGAGAAAACGCCGTTTTAATAAGAGCCGTGTGTGTTCAGCGCTCTGCTTCCACTCCCTGCACTGCAGCCGTGCCTGCAGCAGAGTCCTGCACGGGTCTGATTTTCAAGACCCGCTCCCGCCCCGCACCCGTGACGTGCAATACCGAACCCGCCCCGCTACCCGCACATATTGCCAATTAGTTCCGCAACC